TATACTGCGTAATATATATAAAATATGTATTATTTAACATAAACTTATCCATAAACTATAGATAAGATTCAGATGATGCTACAAACGTTCGAACGTTAAACTAAAAAAGCGAATAAACATTAAAGAAAAACGTTGACAGATTTATATTGATTTTTGAAACATTTATAGCACCAAGTGTCTTAACCTCTGTAATATATCAATTACAAAAAAAACAAATAATATTATTTCACAATTGCATTTATATACTGTGTAACGCATATATATAAAATATATATTTAACGTAAACTTATCTATAAACTATAGGTAAAATGATGCTACAAACGTTTCAAAAGTTAAACTAAAAAATCGAATAAACATTAAAGAAAAACATTGACAGATTTATATTGATTTTTGAAACATTTATAGCACCAAGTACCTTAACCTTAACCTTTTTAATTTATATCAATTACAAAAAACATAATAATTTTTGAAAATCACAATCTTATAAGATATTCTGTATTATGCAATAATACTGCAATGATGCATAAGTTGAATGATATTATTATTGCTGCTTCTTCATCTGATTATTAACCCATGTCTTAATTGTTGCACAATTTCTGTTAAATACACCGGGGTTTGCATCCTTCACTTCCTGAATTTCTTTGAAAGAAGGTTGAATCTTCGAAGTAATATGATGCTTAAATGCTGCGTATGCAATACTTATTTCTTCTCCGGTCCAACATTTACGAATACATTTTCCAAACGGAGATGCTAGATAATAAAGCAAACGATTGTTGTGTATCAAATGTGTTATACAATTCATATTGTAAATAATCAAACTTACTTAATCGTTTCTTTTTATTTTTGTGAGTTACTTGTAAAGAAGATGATGAAGAATTATTTCCTAAAACATTTTCGTCTGTACCATTGTTTGCGTTAGAATCCAATGAATCTTCAAAAATAAAACATATTTATATATAAAGTATTAAAATAGCAATTATTTTTCATTAAGTACTAACTGAAATCAGATTTCGTACAATATAAATATTTACTTTAACTGTAACTTTTTTTTAATCGTTTTCGGAACACAGTCTATTAACCGAGCGATTGGTTCTTACTAATGGACCTAACCAATTATGTTCAATCGTTCACGAGCAAAAAAACGTTCCAAAATCCATCAAAAAGTGTTGCATTCTTTCTGTGAGTAAGTGTACGTGCGTGCGTTATTAAAACAAATAAATGAGAAATAGACTTACTTAATGATACATTCTGGTGAG